AAAAAAAATTTTTTTTAAAGTCCCCCTTTTAGCCCCTAAATTTATGTTGACACATATATTGCCATTTGATTTGGGTGCCCCAAAAAAAGGGGGATGAGGAGCTGCAAGTTTTAGTTCATTTGAAGTGATGTCCATCACTTGGCAACAGTGGTGGTGAATGCAAGACTTATTTTAAGTCCTGTATGTGGCACCAAAACTAGAATGTATGTATGTGTACAACTAAGCTCTATATAAGGTGTTTGGTGACCATGAACAGAATATGCAAGTGAGTGATCCAAATTTGCTTAGCTTGTGTGGCAGACTTTTGCTCTAGCTATATTGGGGTCGAGTAAATTTTCTTATTCTTGGCAACGACTGGATTTTACATTTTCCTGAATGTCATAACATTATTATAATGAAATGACATTTTCAGGATTTGTTTTGCATTACTTATATAATGTTGGTGATTTGTTCTAAATAGGAACTTCGGTAGGTCCTCGACAATGTTAGGCTTTCCTGTAAAATAATTGCAGTCAAGTCTTTGACAGTCAGAACCTTTTCCCTGCACTATACTGGAAAGTATTCAAGGCTCAAAATTCTGTTTCTTCTTTCTTTCATGCTTCTTTAACTAGAATATTTACCCATAGTTGACATTCATAGTGTTCTGTTCCTTACAAATCGTTTTAACATTTTTACAAATTATCACTGTCTAATCAAACAGAACAGGACTTTACTATAGTGTATAGTACAGTACAGTGGATGTGTAGGGGCAGAAAGCAGCAGTACTCTCTCTCTCTCTCATTCTCACTCTTATTCATTCCCACCCTCTCTTGCATCATATTTAACACCATACTCTTTACATGGGGTCACCATTCTCTCACAGGTTATGATGAGGGCATCAGCTGTTTGAGTATATAATGTAGGAAAGCAGCAGTTAGGATAATTGTGAAGGAAAGGGTGTAATGAGTGAGTAGAGCTTTTACTGTCCTGTATCTCACACACTGACAAGTTCAGTGCAAGAGCACCAGCTGTACTGCAGCTACAGCAACCCAACATTAATATTTTTTTTTTTTAACAAGTCTGCTGTCTCCCACCGAGGCAGGGTGACCCAAAAAGAAAGAAAATCCCCAAAAAGAAATTACTTTCGTCATCATTCAACACTTTCACCTCACTTATACATAATCACTGTTTTTGCAAAGGTGCTCAGAACACAACAGTTTAGAAGCATATACGTATAAAGATACACAACATATCCCTCCGAACTGCCAATATCCCAAACCCCTCCTTTAAAGTGCAGGCATTGTACTTCCCATTTCCAGTACTCAAGTCCGGCTATATAAAAATAACCGGTTTCCCTGAATCCCTTAATTAAATATTACCCTGCTCACACTCCAACAGGTCCCAAATACCATTTGTCTCCATTCACTCCTATCTAACACGCTCATGCATGCTTGCTGGAAGTCCAAGCCCCTCGCCCACAAAACCTCCTTTACCCCCTCCCTCCAACCTTTTCAAGGACGACCCCTACCCCGCCTTTCTTTCCCTACAGATTTATATGCTCTCCATGTCATTCTACTTTGATCCATTCCTCTAAATGACCAAACCACCCAACAACCCTCTTTAGCCACTCTGACTATTTTTTTTTTATTTATTTTTTTTTTCAACAATCGGCCGACTCCCACAAGGCAGGGTGACCCAAAAAGAAATAAATCCCAAAAGAAAATACTTTCATCATCATTCAACACTTTCACCTCACACTCGCACATTATCACCGTTTTTGCAGAGGTGCTCAGAATACAACAGTCTAGAAGCATACACATATAAAGATACACAACATATCCCTCCAAACTGCCAATATCCCAAACCCCTCCTTTAAAGTGCAGGCATTGTACTTCCCATTTCCAGGACTCAAGTCCGACTATATACTTTTATTAAATCCACACCTTCTCCTGATTTCCACACTCCGAATTCTCTGCATAATATTTACACCACACATTGCCTTTAGATAGGACATCTCCACTGCCTCCAACCACCTCCTCACTGCAGCATTTACAACCCAAGCTTCACACCCATATAAAAGTGTTGGTACTACTATACTTTCATACATTCCCTTCTTTTCCTCCATAGATAATGTTTTTTGTCTCCACTTATACCTCAACGCACCACTCACCTTTTTTCCTTCATCATTTCTATTGTTAACGTCATCCTTCATACATCCATCCGCTGACATGTCAACTCCCAAATATCTGAAAGCATTCACCTCTTCCATACTGCTCCTCTCCAATTTGATATCCAATTTTTCTTTATCTAAATCATTTGATACCCTCATCACCTTACTCTTATCTATGTTCACTTTCAACTTTATACCTTTACACACTCCCAAACTCGTCCACTAACCTTTACAACTTTTCTTCAGAATCTCCCATAAGCACAGTATCATCAGCAAAAAGTAACTGTGCCAATTCCCATTTTGTATTTGATTCCCCATAATTTAATCCCACCCCTCTCTCCAACACCCTAGCATTTACTTCTTTTGCAACCCCATCTATAAATATATTGAACAACCAGTGGCTAACCCGACGGTATGGAGGTTTGAGACTCTCTGACCAAGGGTTCAAACCTCCACCCATGATATGGTTTTATGTTAGTAGTAAGTTGGTAGACAGCAGCCACCCAGGGAATACCACCGTCCTGCCAAGTGAGTGTAAAACGAGAGCCTGTAATTGATTTACATGATGGTAGGATTGTTGGTGTCATTTGTCTGTCTCATAAATATGCAAGATTACAGGTACGTCTTGCTACTTCTACTTACACTTAGGTCACACTACACATAGATGTACGTGTTTATTTATACACACTCGTCTGGGTTTTCTTTGATTTTATCTTTATAGTTCTTGTTCTTATTACTTTTCCTTATAGATCCATGGGGAAGTGGAATAAGAATCTTTCCCCCGTAAGCCATGCATGTTGTAAAAGTCAACTAAAATGCCGGGAGCAATGGGCTAGTAACCCCTTTTCCTGTCAAGATTACTAAAAAGAAGGAGAAGAAGAAAATTGTCAACATAAATATGTAATTATTTAATCCTCAGTTCACACCCTATCTCAACCAGAAACACACGAATTTTCCATATGCATATAAGGAGCATATTTACACAAAATACCAATATCTTTAGTAAAAATTAAAAAAAAATTTGCTATACCATTTATAATTCAGCCTTAAGAAAATCATAAATATTAAATTACTAACCAAACTCTTATCAAACAAATGTAAGGGCTCTGTACCTGCATAAAATAGATGTGTGCAAATCATGAATGCCCTTCCCATGTCCAGGACTCAAGTTTGGCTAATCCATATCCCCTGAATCCCTTCATAAAAGTTCCCTTGCTCATGTTAACAACAGCATATTCATTTAAAACCTCTTGTCTCAGTTATCTCTTGTCTATCATACTCACACAAGCCTGCTACATGCTAAAGCTCCTAACACTCAAAGCCTCTTTTACCTGTTCCCTCTATCTATTCCTGGAATACTATCCCTTCTAACTTCCACCCTAAATTTAACACTCTTTCTGTCATTGTATTCCCCTTCATCCCTTCTACATACTTAAACCAAACAACTCCTCCTCAGCTCTCTGAACTGCATCCTTGGAAGATTGCTAATCACATGGAATCACATCAGTTGCACAATCCAGGGAAGCAAGGATTTAGAATAGGTTGGTCCTGCCTTTCACAACTGCTAGACCATTGCTTTGTGATCTTGGATGCACTGGAAGACAAGATTATGCAAAAGTCTTCGACAAGTGTGATAGCACACAAAATGCACGCAAAAGGAATAACTGGTAAAGTGGGAAAATGGATATTTAACCCCTTAACAAACAGAACCCAGAGAGTAGTGGTAAACAGGGTGAAGTTGAGACTGTCAAAGTGAAAAGCTCCATTCAAGGCACAGTACTCACCCCAGTTCTATTTCTCATTCTTATATCCAACATAGACAAGGACATATACCAAAGCATAACTTTTCCATGAATTACACAACACGCATGCACACGCATTCAAATTGCACCAAAGTGAATAGGCCACTTACGTTGAAAACCCCACCTCTCCCCCTACTCCCCCTAAGCTTTCACACATTCCATCCTTACCCATCCTTCTTCCTTCCCCATCTCACCAAAGCTCTGGTCAGAACCTCTCACCTCACACCAAAGCACTGTAACAACTTTTGCTGATGACACCAAAATGTATGTGAGTGGCACCTGTCGAAGTTGCTGCCAGTCTTAGAGCCGATATAATTGAAGTCTTCTGATAGGCCTCAGACAACAATAGGATGTTTAACAAGGACAAGTTTCAGTTGCTGCTGCTGTGGAAGACTGGAGGTAATAAGGATTGAAAAGAAGTACAGAACAAACTCAGTTCATTCAATTGAGCAAAAGTTTCATGTGTGAGACTTGGGAATGATGTCAAAAGATTCCACTTTCAAGAATCACAACAGTGTTGCTATGCTACCATAAGGAAAATGATAGGCTGGATAACTAGGACTTTCAAGACAGTAGATGCTGAGCCAATGATGATATGCTTCAAGTTGCTTCTTCTCTTCAGGCTGGAATATTGCTGTATACTAACGGCCCCCTTCAAGGCAGGCAAGATTGCTATGCAAGAAAGCATAAAGAGAACTTTTACTGCTGTTTACATTCAGTCAAACATCTGAATTACTGGGAATGCTTGCAATCACTCTTAACAATATTCCTTGGAATTTAGGTGAGAAAAATGCATCATAATTTACACCTGGAAAATCCTGGAGCAAATAGTCCCAAACTTCACACCAAAATCATTCCATTTGAAAATGAGACTTGGCTAACAGTGCAGTGTACCTTCAGTTAAAAAGCAGGGGCATGAGTACGCTAAGAGAGAGCTCAATAAGTGTCGTATATCCCTGACTTTTCAACACCCTTTTTTCGTGCATAAGAGGAATTGCCAACAGACCTCTGACTGTCTTCAAGAAAGAATATGGCAAGTTCCTCAAATCATTTCCTCACCAGCTGGGCTGTGATACATATATTGGACTATTTGTGGCCAGCAGCAACAGTCTGGTTGATTAGGCCTTGATCCACTGGGAGGCCTGATCTGTGACCAGGTGGCATGAGTTTTCACTGGAGGAAGCATTCTTCAGGTATCCCTCAGGTATCCTCATAGCTTTATTTTACTTAACACTAGGACATCCTTCTTTTCATTCATAACATTAGCTATCAATTCTTTCTTATCTGTACCATACCCATGCATTTAAATACCCTAGTTTCAAAATTTTCTTTAACTGTTTAGTAACTGAATACAGAAGGTTACTAGCCTCTCTCCTGGCATTTTAGTCAACTTTTACAACACACATGGCTTATTGTGAAAGAATTTTTGAACACTTTTTCCCATTACTTCTGCATTATAAATTTTCCTTCAGCTGTGGGCTTATTTTATGTTTCAGAGGTCTTATCCCTTTCTGCAGTCTGATTAATATTGACATTCAAAATAAAAAATTGTCCAAAAAGAAGAGAGAGATTATCATGGGAAATTTTTTCAGCACATTTTGAACAAAATATTACATAGATTTTAATTTAGGGGTCATGTATGTTAAGTGCATACCTAATATATGCATAGTGCATGCCTAGTGAATGTCTAGGTGTATGCATAGTGCATGACTCGTGAATGCCTAGTGCACATCTACTGCACACCTAACCAAAATACAGTGGACCCCCGCATAACGATTACCTCCGAATGCGACCAATTATGTAAGTGTATTTATGTAAGTGCGTTTGTACGTGTATGTTTGGGGTCTGAAATGGACTAATCTACTTTACACATATGTTTTATGGGAACAAATTTGGTCATTACTGGAAACCCGAAACATACTTCTGGAGTGAAAAATATCGTTAACGGGTCCACTGTATTGGAATTTATGAAAAGAACCCACATATTCCAAAAGCATGAAGGGGCCCTCGTAAAAAGTGAGTAATCAAAATATGCAAATCGGGAATCTTGCTAATTTGATGGTTCAACTGTGCAGTACTTGTATACTATTTTGTATTTTAATACTGCAGATATATATGGTATTTATTTATCCAGAACCATGAGAATATTTTTATTTAGATAATATTTCTTTCAGGTTATAGTGGCTCAGCTCGTCCTGCCTTCATGAGTGATTTATCTCAGCAAGCAGTGTTCATGTCACAGGATCCTTCCATTTGTATTCTTTATAACTCCAGTAGCAGCAGTCATACTATATGGAAAATTCGAAGGGCAAAATTAGAGGTAAATGTATTTTTAATTAAATTTGTTTGGCTTTTATCTGTATAACAAAAATAAGTTTATTGAATAATTTGCATTTATTTCACTTTGGGTTGATCACCTGGTATTGCATATTTTCATCATTCATCAGTACTGTTTGGGAGGTAATTAATTGCTTTTTATCACATCTGAAATTTCTTACCGAAGTAGGGTGGCTCCCCCCCCCCCCAGAAAAAAATAATATTCACCATCAATCATTTAAAAGAAGTCTTGCTAGCAGTACATAGACACCACAGTAAATGACCCTCTGAACTATAACATCCCCATCCCTCTTTCAGAAGGATGGGGATGTTTTAGTTCACCCTACCCACTGAGGTAGGGTGAACTGAAAACGAAACACTTTCACCATCATTAACTCCATCACTGTATTGCCAGGGGTGCATCAGTACTACAGTTCAGATGCCAATCCAAACTTCAAATATCCCCACCCCCTCATTCAGAGTGCAGTCAATGTACTTCCTTCCTCGAGAACTTAAGAAGAAGAAAAACTTTTTGAATTATATTAACATTCATTAGATAATTCCTAAATGGTTGTGTCATTGTAGCTTGTTTATGTCTTCTTAAGAAAAAAATTGAAGGAGTGCCAGATAAACATGTAGCACTTGGCTCTGGTGCTGACCTTTCTTATCTTGGCACATTAGCTGCTGGTATGAGCAAAGTACAGTAATATACTTGATGGGATCAAAAGAAACTGGTTAGGTTAGTTCAGGATAATCATTTAGTCAGATTTTAGCTCTGGAAGAGGAAAGTGCACTCAAGCACCATTACTATGTACTCAAATATTCTAATACACTACACACTGACATTAGGATAGAACAAAATATGATGACCTGGAGGGCATATAAATTTCTAGTGAAGGAAAGACAGGATAGGGTCGTCCTTGGAAAGGTTGGAGGAAGGGGAAATAAAGGAGGTTTTGTGTGCGAGGGGCTTAGACATCCAACAAGCATATGTGAGCATGTTAGATAGGAGTGGTTGGAGGCAAATGGTTTTTATGACTTGACATGTTGGAGTGTGAGCAAGGTAACTTCTATGAAGGGATTCAAGGAAATCAGTTAGCCAGACTTGATTTCTGGACAAGGGAAGTGCAGTGCCTGCACTCTGAAGGAAGGGTATGAATATTTGTAGTTTTGAACTGTAGTATCAGCATCCGTCTGGCAAAACAGTGATGGAGTAAATGATAGTTAAAGTGTTTCTTCTTTTTTTGGGTTACACTTCCTCAGTGGGATATAGCTGGTTTGTTGAAAAAAAAAAATAGAGGACAATAATGCATTGATATGTTGTGTGTGGGAGAGAAGGTAAAAATGTTTTTATTGACTTGAGTGAAACATAACCGCCATTTATTTTACATAAGAAAGGAGGCACACTGCAGGAGACCTGTTGGCCCATACTAGGCAGGTCCTTTACAATTCATCCCACTAACAAAACATTTGCCCAACCCAATTTTCAATGCCACCCAAGAAATAAGCTCTGATGTGAAAGTCCCACTCAAATCCAACCCCTCCCACTCATGTACTTATCCAACCTAAATTTGAAACTACCCAAAGTCCCAGCCTCAATAACCCAACTAGGTAGACTGTTCCACTCATCAACTACCCTATTTCCAAACCAATACTTTCCTATGTCCTTTCTAAATCTAAACTTAATTTAAATCCATTACTGCGGGTTCTCTCTTGGAGAGACATCCTCAAGACCTTATTAATATCCCCTTTATTAATACCTATCTTCCACTCATACACTTCGATCAGGTCTCCCCTCATTCTTCGTCTAACAAGTGAATGTAACTTAAGAGTCTTCAATCTTTCTTCATAAGGAAGATTTCTAATGCTATGTATTAATTTAGTCATCCTACGCTGAATGTTTTCTAACGAATTTATGTCCATTCTGTAATATGGAGACCAGAACTGAGCTGCATAATCTAGGTGAGGCCTTACTAATGATGTATAAAGCTGCAGTATGACCTCTGGACTTCTGTTGCTTACACTTCTTGATATAAATCCCAGTAATCTATTTGCCTTATTACATACGCTTAGGCATTGCTGTCTTGGTTACAATATTGATTTGCGGGAAAGTACACTTCTAGTTCGCAACTTGCAAAATACGAGAGAAATTTGGGAATGTAAATGATTCATAAAGACCTCATGTACTAAGCAGGACATAATGAAATCCCATGAATGATATATTCTGGGTAAGATTTTAGTAAAATATCATAGATATGAGATTAAAAGGATTCCACTATTGTGATCATGTTTTGTTATTGCCAAAACATTTGGCAATAACATTTGGCAGCATCACATTCAGAGCAAGAAATGGTCTGAAGCTCAATCCTCTGTTCTCTTATTGAAAAAGAAAAAATCTTCCTTTCTCTGGCAGCTGGGTTTCTCTCCATATTGAATAAGATCATGAGGAAAATATCAGTAGTAACATTACACACTATGACTGAGGAAAGTTTTTAACCCTTTCAGGGTCGAGAACACCGATCCTTAACCCACTCTTAGGGTCAAAAAAATTTCAAAAAAAAAAAAAAAAAATTTTCTTATGATGGTAATGATACCAAAAGTACGAAATTTGATGGAAAACTTATGAAATTACGCTCTTGAGAAGTTAGCGATATTTACACATCAGCAATTTCGCCCACCTTGAACCCTATTTTCGGCCAATTCCATTGTTCCAGTTGACTAAAATCATTGCTATTTTGCTAGAACTCCATTTGTTCTATTGATTGAGTACAAGAAACTGCCCATTCAATTTCAACTAGCCAGTAAAGTGGTCAGAAATTGACAATTTCAAAATAGGGTCCAGAATAAACCAGACAGACATTTCTGGCACTAAAATAACACTTTCTCTGTTCATTAGTCACCTCTCCAGGCTTTTATATTACTCTTGCTTTCCATTTTGAATTTTTATTCTCACAAAAATTAGATGAGTTTACTGTTATGAAGACTACTGCATTATTGTAAAAATGGTATAAATAATATCAGCGCACTTGTGAAAGAATATTAGACTCACCAGTTGACGTGTAGTGGACGTGTGGGATGATTTGTTTACTCTTGAACATCGACAAAAATTGAACATTTCTGTTACTGTGAGCTCAATTTCATGATACTTTTCATCGTGAAATAAATCAAAATCATCTCTGTATTCGTAATATATCTTCCATTCTATCAAATGAGACCAAGAAATGAGAATGCAACCAAAAATAACATAGGAAAATACACTGCAAAGTCGCTGTTGTAAACCAAAAACACAGTTGGATTTTTTTTTTTTCTCATTATGCACTGTGTACTGCAGGATTTTTTTTATACTGTGCACACTGACCATGCAGACCCATTCTTTCATATGTAGCTACCAGCTTTCTTCCACCAGATTTGAAGGTGCTAGAATTTTGGAGTACAAGTACGGGACCGACACTGGTTCTTAAGCTGTACATATATGTGACTGACCCTGAAAGGGTTAAGTTGTGTGGTATTTATAGTAGCAGAAAACTTAAGAAGGCATACTGCAGTGTTTACAGCACACCCTGACCACATTGTGGAAATGTTTTGCTAGTAATAAATGTTCTTTCTTTCTTTCAACAAACCGGCCGCATCCCACCGAGGCAAGGTGGCCCCCCAAAAAAAAACAAAAGTTTCTCTTTTAAAATTTAGTAATTTATACAGGAGAAGGGGTTACTAGCCCCTTGAGTAATATATGTATATTATTATTTTTATATGTATTTTTTTTATTTGGATTTCAGGAAAACAACTTTGTACTTCAAAGCAATATGAGTTCACCAGCATCCTGTCTACTATCCAACCCTGGCTCATTTGCACAACTGCACTCCTATACACACGGTCATTCTCTCTCCCAAAGTCACTCCCATGGAGCATCTCCTGTTAATCAAGCGTCCACTCATACACCAACTCCTACCAGTTCTCGTACAAAGTCTAGCATATTTCCTAATATGCTGACCACTCCGAAGGCACAGCAGTCTCAGGCTCCCAGGAATCACATGGCAATGCTTAGGTATGTCTTCAGTGATCAATTTGTATTGCGAGGGAACATGCACGAGAGGAGGAAATTGTACAGTACAAGTTGACCATCGCTAATCCAGCATCATTGGGACCTGTAGGGTGCGGGATTAGTGATTTTTGCAGGATTACAGAGTGGCTAGGTTAGAATACACTTAACCGAACGGTGATGTTTACGCATCAATGATTTTCCCCACTTTACGCCCTATTTTTAGCCCATTCTATTGTTCCAGTCTACCAAACTCAGCTATTTCACTAGTATCCCTTCTATTCTGTTGGCTGAGTACAAGAAACTGCCCATTTACCTATTTCAACTACCCAATAAAGTGGTCAGAAATTGGTAATTTGGCCAATTTCACACAAATTTCAAGAGATGCTAATTTCAAAATAGGGTCTGGAATAAACAATGCAGACATTCCTGGCACTCAAATAAAATTTTCTTTGTACATTACTCATGTCTCCAGGCCTCTCATACGTATTATGCTTGCTTTTTATTTTGGATTTTTATTCACACAAAAAATAGAAGATTTACTATTATGCAGACTACAGCATTATTGTAATAATCGTATAAATAATGTCAACCCATTTGTGACCACATATTAGACTGGCCAGTTGGACATGTATTGGACAGAGACGTCATTTGTTTACTCTTGAACATTTCATTGAACATTTCCTCTACTTTGAGCTCAGTTTCAAGGTACTTACTTTCCTTCTTAAAACCACTCAAAATCATATCTATTTCTGTAACATATCTTCCATTCTATCAGATGGGCCAAAAAACAAGAATACAACAATAAACCATACAAAAATACACCGCAGAGTTGCTGTTTTACACCAAAAACACTTTTCGCAGTTTTTTTTTTCTCATATACTGCATACTGCTGGATTTCTTTTTATATAGTACACACTTACCACACAGACCTATTCTCTCATATGAAGGCTTAAATTTACTGGTCACAGTTTATCTAAGTGAGTTGAGTTCATAGCTACCGTGTGTGGCTTCAAAGCCACCTTATCTTTTATGGACGGTGTATGGTGTATGTGCTTTACACAACGAGAAGCATTTCTTTTATTCGTTGGAACCATGGCTTGGGTTAAAAGTGAGCAGATTATAACAATAAATAGAGAAGAGCAAATTGGAATGACTCATGCATCAAGTAACGCCACAAAACAGCAGCAGCAGGTTGGTGTGGCAGCTCCGGAAATTTGAAATTAGGCTAGCTGAAATTAGTGCCAGATTACTGATGGCCAACCTGTATTGCAAAATTTTTGACGGTAAGAAAAGAATTTGGTTGTCCATTGGAACTTTGGAAATTTACCAAGGGAATGGACAAGGATGCCCAGAGGATGGGGAGCAAGGTCTTTCAGGGGAAGGGGGGCAAGAAGATAGGCAAGCCATCAGAATGGTTGTTTTTCTGGATGCAGGCTTAATTCAAGGAGTTAACTACTCTTCCTGGTATCCTTTCCCTATCTCAGCAGATGCTCTTATATACAGTGTGAAAAGTATTAGGGAAAGAGCAACTTGTGCTTTGGGATTATGTATAATAATACTCTTACATCCTAGGTAGTAGGTTGGTAGATAACAGCCGCCCAAGGAGGTACTACTGTTCTGCCAAGTGAGTGTAAAACGAAAGCCTGTATTTGTTTTATATGATGATAAGATTGCTGGTGTCTTTTCTCTGTCTCATAAACATGCAAGATTTCAGGTGCATCTTGTTATTTCTGCTTACACTTAGGTCACACTACACATACATTTTTTTTTTTTTTTTTTTTTTTTTTCAACAAGTCGGCCATCTCCCACCGAGGCAGGGTGACCCAAAAAAGAAAGAAAATCCCCAAAAAAGAAAATACTTTCATCATCATTCAGCACTTTCACCACACTCACACATTATCACTGCTTTTGCAGAGGTGCTCAGAATACAACAGTTTAGAAGCATATACGTATAAAGATACACAACATATCCCTCCAAACTGCCAATATCCCAAACCTCTCCTTTAAAGTGCAGGCATTGTACTTCCCATTTCCAGGACTCAAGTCCGACTATATGAAAATAACCGGTACATACATGTACAAACCTATATATACACACCCCTCTTGAGTTTTCTTCTATTTTCTTACTAGTTCTTGTTCTTGTTTATTTCCTCTTATCTCCATGGGGAAATGGAGCAGAATTCTTCCTCCATAAGTGTGTCGTAAGATGCGACTAAAATGCCGGGAGCAAGGGGCTAGTAACCCCTTCTGTTTAAATTACTAAATTTAAAAAAAGAAACTTTGTTTTTTCTTATTGGGCCACTGTGACTCGGTGGGATACGGCCGGTTTATTGAAAGAAAGAAGAAGAATACTCTTAAAATGAATCACTTACCTTAATACACATTCTCCTAGGTAGTAGGTTGGTAGACAACAACTGCCCAGGGAGGTACTACCTTCCTGCCAAGTGAGTTCAAAACAGAAGCCTGTAATTGTTTTACATGATGGTAGGATTGCTGGTGTCTTTTTTGTCTCATAAACATGCAAGGTTTCAGGTATGTCTTGCTACTCCTACTTACACTTAGGTCACACTACACAAGCATGTATATAAGCATATATATAGACCCCTCTGGATTTTCTTCTATTTTTTTACTAGTTCTTGTTTATTTCCTCTTACTCCATGGGGAAGTGGAACAGAATTCTTCTTCCGTAAGCCATGTGTGTGTCGTAAGAGGCGAATAACATGCCTGGAGCAAGGGGCTAGTAACCCCGTCTTCTGTATACATTACTAAATTTAAAAAGAGAAACTTTTGTTATTCTTTTTGGGCCACCTGCTTTGGCAGGATATGGCTGATTTGCTGAAAGAAAAGGAATGCACATTCTGAGTATAGTGATGCATCAGTAATCTTCTCTTTACATTCTGAAGCAAACTGATATATTGCGTGAAACTAATGTCTTGCATCTATTATACAATGTAAAGTTTCTGTAGATTCCATGAACCACTAATGGAATGGGAACCTGTCAGTAGAGTTTATATTACACTAGTATTGGGCTCTGTAACCACTTTTTGCCCAGTCAGCCTTTTGTTTTTGTCTACTGCATACCTGCACTTCCTTGTTGCCTATTCAGCCAGCTGCTCATGTTTTAAGCTCCAGTCAACTGCCTTCATTGGCCAAGGAAAAACCTTTCTGGTTACTCAGTAATGAGAACATTACTTGAATTTTTAGATGTAAACTACTTACTCCTCAGTGATAGACATATTCATTGAATAGCTTATGAGAGTCAGGTCATGTGAAGAGGAAGAAACTTGTTCATTGTTAATAGCCAAAACAAGAGCTATCCATTGATAATGGGGGTATATGTGAAGAGTGTTAATGGCAATAAAGTGAGTGACATGCACAACTTGGTTATGTGTAACCATTCTCCCCCAGACACAAACATTATCACTTCCACAGCTTACTGATATATCAACTCTTAGGAAGAGGACAAGAAAGACACTGGTATTCCATAGTATTACCCATTGCCTTTCATGCCTAGGACATTAGTGTTAGGGTAATTAAGCCATAATTCCCTGCTGTTCACAGGCCTCCTCCCACCTTTAACCCTTTCAGGGTCGACAGGCCCTCTCCCAGACTTGTTCTCAGGGTCAACAAATTTAAAAAAAAAAAAAAAATTATTTTTTCTTATGAAAAGATAGAGAATCTTTTCCCGATCATAATGACACCAAAAGTACGAAATTTGATGGAAAACTTACGGAATTATGCTCTCACAAAATTAGTGGTCTCGACGATGTTTACACATCAGTGATTTTGCCCACTTTGAGCCCTATTTTCAGCCAATTCCAGTGTACTAGTCGACAAAAATCATAACTATTTCGCTAGAACTCGATTTTTTTTGTATCGAATGAGTACAAGAAACCACCCATTTACCGATTTCAACTATCCAATAAAGTGGTCAGAATTTAGCAATTTTGCCAATTTCACACAAATTTCAAAAGATGCCAATTTCCAAATAGGGTCCAGAATAAACAAGAAAGACATTCCTGGCACTAAAATAACATTTTCTTTGTTCATTAGTCACATCCCCATGCCCCTCTTACATTCTTTTGCTTTCCACTTTGAATTTTTATTCTCATAAAAAATAGAAGATTTACTGTTATGCAGACTGCTGCATTGGTGTAGAAATGGTATAAATAATATCAGTGCACTTGTGAAAGAATATTAGACTCACCAGTTGACGTGTATTGGATGCGTAGCAAAAATCGATGATTTCTGCTACTTTGAGCTCAATTTCAAGGTACTTTTCATTGTAAAACCAATCAAAATCGTCTCAATTTCTGTAATATGTCTTCCATTCTATAAAATGAGACCAGGAAAACTAGAATACCCTCATAAATACCATACGAAAATACAGTGCAAACTCGCTTTTTTAAACCAAAAACACTGTCAGTTTTTTTTCTCATTATGCACTGTGTGCTGCAGGATTTTTTTTATACTGCACACACTGACCACATAGACCCATTCTTTCATATGTAGGCCTACCAGCTTTCTCTCACTAGATTTGAGGGTGCTAGAATTTAGGCGTACTTGTAGGTCAAAAACCCTGATGCGTAAGCCGTACTAGTACGTCAGAAACACTGAAAGGGTTATCTACTGAATGACCATCTAGTAAAGGAGTTCTTGATTAATATAGACTATTTTTAGAGTTCTTGATCACACACATGAGCAAGTGCATTTCATACTCATTCAGTGTCTGTGACATTGCATTTCCTACAAGACTGACACTTATGCAGACAGCAACGTAAGGATCTTGCTCTTTTTTTTTTTATGTACCCTTTTTTCTCTTGAGAATGTAAAGGTCAGTATTTCATTAGATTACACTTTGTGATGCAAGATGTTTGCTAAGATCACTTTGGAAGATGTTTAGTTATGTAGTACTGAAATCCAATTATAGGGTTGCATACAGGAGACAAGAACTTCTTTTCATATCTTTTATTGTACTCAAGTCATGATTAGCAATATCATTT